CTAAATGAGACGTTTCCAGGACGCTGGATAGGACGAAGAGGTGCAATTGAGTGGCCCCCTCGGTCACCCGACTTAAATCCTTTAGATTTCTTTCTCTGGGGGCACATTAAAAGCAAAGTTTACAGCACTCCACCTGATACCTTGGAAGATCTGCGAGGACGAATCATTAATGTATGTCGCGAAGTAACACCGCAAGTGCTCCAGAATGTTCGACAACGGTTTGAAGACAACCTGTATCATTGTATGCAAGTTGGCGGACAACATTTTCAGCATTTACTTGACTAATACCGTAAGTTTTGAAGTAAAATTAAATCGATTTTCGCATTTCTCGTCAAAAATATTGTTCGTATTTTCAAAGCTGCATATTTTCTAAAATAATGGATCGATTTTCAAAAAGTAAGAATCGATGTATAGAGAATTAAAAGCCCTTTCTAATGACCGTACACTTGACCCTATTCCCATTTAAAAAAATTTGGGGGATGGCACCCCCACTTAGGGGGTTGAAGATTTTGCTATGCTTTTTGCGCCAAAAATTGTCCCCCTCAGAAGCAAACTTTACCTGTTTTTGGATTTTGCCGAAAAGTTCATTACTACCCTGTAATGCCTTGCGCAACGTTTTCGATGGGCTACCCTGTATCTTTGACACTCAATTTGGCATCATTTATTTCTCAATAATATTCACGCCAATTTCGTGTGATCTTAAACAAATGATATCGATCATTTATATTTATTTATTTATTACATATTTTTTTAGGTACTTATCAAATTTTACACAATTTTGATTGGATATACATATGTGCAACAAATAACTGATAAATACACTGGACTTTAAATAGACTACGAAAATAGTATATAGTCACGTATTATTCACAACCCACATCCAACATATGAATGTAAATCTAATAATAATATGGGTTTTATAAATATTTACTCTACAAAAACTGCTATAATGGTCTACTTTATGTGTTTGCAATGTTGATACAGAAAAGCAATGAAATTATGATTATGTAAATAGCGGGAGTGGTTTAAAAATCATTCAGTGGTCGGCATTAAAGAAGATTACATCGAGGAGATGCAAAGAGCAGTCACCAGATCCAAATTCTGCAGACGGTTCTATTATTTTATGAAACTGTGCGAATAGATAAATTATCAAAGCATTGGTAGGTACATATATGTATCTCAAATTCCCCTGGGCTGGAATTTTTCCTTAAAAATCGCCAATATTGTGCTCTAAATAAAGGTTGAGTTTTAAAGTGAGAGGGATACGATTCATAACATAAATCACTTAACAAATAAAGCTACGGCAGTGAACATTTGAACATTTTTTGTAATTTAAATAATCTTGAATATACAGGGTGACCCAGAAATAAATGTCAAGATTTTAGTCGTGCCTTCATCAGAAGCAGAAGCTTTTGTATATTTTTTTCCGAAAATCTTTTAGATTATTGGGCAATATATTTTTTTAAAGAAAAGTCAAAGAAATTTGTATGTTAAAGTGTGTGTAAAATTTTTATTAAAATCTTAGCTGAGCGCTTTCGACTACATAGTCATCATCGGAGCTATTCCTAAAATATCAACAAGAGGTTGAAATGACATTATACATATAAAGCAAATTTTTACTTACGTTAAATTTTAGATACCAAAAATATTTAGGAAACGTTGAAAATCTTAATAAGTTCGACAAAACAATATACAACATTAAATATAACATCAATTACTTGTAAATAACAAGAGAAAGAAACAGAAATTCACTAACAATGTCGAACACGTGGAGTGAAATAAAGTGAGGTTAAATGTTAAATGAAATTGAAAATTGACATTCTACAATTCTAAAGATTACCAACTAAGTGAAAACAAAAATTTTTAAAGTTAAACTACCAATATACCTACTAATAACAAACTATCAGCTGTAAATTAATGAGACTCCGTGTAATATTGGTTGCCTAAGCTTGTCGATCACATGGGTAGTAATAATTTATGAAGGCTATCTGAAAGGCTGTGCAAAAGATCATTTTGATTCAAATTAGAATTTTATTTTCAGACAAAATTAAGTTACAGTTTTTTTTTTCATACATAAATTCTGTCTTAAATACGAACAAATCAAGGTGAAACGTTTATATAAGAAACCATTGTTAACTCTCAAACATCACACTAGTGCGAATTCGCACCACCGTTCTTTTTTTTTCAATAGCTGGCATTTCTTAGGTAGCGGTTGCGGAGGGTTTTCCTCACCACGATAATTCCTTCTATAGCTCAAACAGTAAAGCCGTACCACAGCTGACCTCAGTCTGTTATTGTTGGCCTAACTAGAGACTGAAAAGTCCGATCGGTGCGATTTCGCACTAATGTGACCTTAGTGTGGGCAAGAAATAAATTGGATTGAAACACAAATTTCCGATTTTTTTACCTCATTTTACCTGTCGAATATACTGAAACATTGTTTATTTAATTATTGTTAATAATTTTTCAAACAAGGAGCGTAAATCACTACAAAAAATTTCAAAAAACTTCTTGTACCTATCAATATTGGGTATTTTTTACATAAAAATATAGATTTTGAACTTCAAAATCCTTTTTTTACTTTTTCTCTAGCCTTTCTTTATAAAAAATATGAATTNTTTTTACATGTGTGTTTTTTTACGAAAGTGATAACAAATCGCCAAAAACCAATGCAACGCAAGAAATACTAAATTTATACCATTGGCGTACTTAACTCGAATGACTGACATTTTTACCGTTACTAATTGTTTGTACATAAGTTTCAACTTTAAAATCAAAATTCTTAATAAGTGTTGGGCGGAATTAAAAAAATTTAAAGTCTGTTGTAAAGAGAATTGTAAGAGCTTTCAAAAGAAATATTATCCTTGCTTGGGGGTGAAAGTGAAGTCAAAAATATCAGCAAAGAATGTTCCCCTTTAATCTAAAATCGACGGGTCTGTGCGTTTTTCTACAATCTTGACGCAGTTCCTGAAAATGGCTCTGTTTCGTTTTCATTTGGCCACCCTGTATATAAACTTTTAAATAAAGTGAACATTTTTTTTGTTATATGCAGATATATCTTTTAATTTACTTTACACACATACAAATATCACTGCCGTACAACAGGAGTGTGAAGCTTCTTTATTATCTAAAAAAGTCGGCCACTGACTTTTACTTGCATACAAGTAAATCAGTATATTTTCAACGTAAAGCTATTAACGAAGAAGAGCAGTAGTGAACATAAAGTTATATTTTTTTTATTTTCGTAATACAAATAGCAACGAATTCAGTAAAATAGTTAAAGCAGTACGTTCTCTTGTTTTATTCGCCTTAATTCAACTGGAGTTTGTATTGATACTGTGTAAAATTTATCTTCAAAGTCCCGCTGGTAAAATAATTCAACGGATTAAAATTGGGTAGATGAAATGGCCAACCTAGCGCTCCTAAGCATTCTTTATTTCATTATAGATTGGTGATAAGTGATTAACCAGTATTGTACTGTGCATTATTTTCTTTTAACCGCTAATGAATTTGTCGATCAAAATGTGGATGATCTCCACAAAAAAAAAAACAAAATAATTAATAAACAATGCATGTCCCAAATAAATAGTAAGAAATGTTTTTGATAGATTTTTGGAGGCACCCTTTAAATTTATCATCATTATTTATTATTTCGAAAAAGCACAGTCTCAGTAGCGTACTTTTTTATAACTTTTTTCGTACTCGAAATTAAATTCACAAAATTTTAACGTACTACAGTTCAAAAATGAAAAGTTTGAAGAATTAATCTATTTTTTAAAGAGGAATTTGTGAGATTACTTTATATATTTTCAAGTTAAAAAAAATTAATTATTATTATTTATATGGGAATACATGATTTAATAATTAAAAATATAATTGTTTGTATATTTTTCCGTTACAAGCGATAAAATGAAAGTAGGGTAAACAAGTGTGTCGGGGTCAATGGAGTAAGAAAACATAAAAATAGAATAACGGAACAATAAAAAAATGTAATTATCAAAAATTTCGAAAATATTCCATTATTCAATTAGAGTTCTTTTCATAGGGTTACCAGATGAAAGCTTGTCCACCCAGGACAAGCCTTTAAGAAAATCCGGACAAAATCCGGTCGTCACAATTTTTTTTAGCAAAGTAATAATAATTTTACTAATAAAACAAGAGCAACAAAATACATTTTTTATTCAAACTTACAAAACTCAAAACTACATTTTTTAAAAATAGTTTACTATTTTGTATTTTACATTATTTGATGTTTATAAAGGCAACTACCTTAAAATCTGGACGTTTATGAAAAATCCGCCCGGACCCACCCGGACGTAGTAAAAACCCGAATATGTCCGGATTAATCCGGACGTCTGGTAACCCTATCTTTTAATAGTCTTAAAAATATTGACCAAGCCGATTATTTGTAATCCGTTCGATATTCCCACATTTCTTTTACAACTTTTGAAATCCAAATCTCCATCTGTTGTTTGCAAAGTAAAATAGACAACGCCATCTATTATTAAAAACTGTACTAGAAAGTTATTTGAATATTTACCTGCGAAAGTGACCTATCTTTTAATTTTTTACTTTAAAAATAAATACACATTATTTGATAAACATATAGTCGGCTTTTTGCAGGATTTTAATGGAGAAAGTTAAACATTTTTTAAGAGATAACGATAACACTGGGTTATTATTGTAGTGCCGGTCGATATTAGTACGCAATTTATCGTACTTTACACTTTGAGCGACTTTGAAATGTCCGCGTGCGTTGAATGATAATTTTAATACCCAGTAGCGGGACCATCATTTTAAATTATGTTCGGTACATACACACTTGACCACACATGATGTAGGTATATATACGTCATATATGTTTACACGTAATATATCTGTGTAGAGCTTTTTATCATTTAAATGATATATAGACTTAAGATTTTAGTATCTGGAATCTTATTGGGCAGTGAAGCAGTGGCGGATCAGGTGGATTTGAGGAGGATACATATCAATTTATATAAACATTTTTTAGTTAGTTATTGTTAATTGAAATATAGTTTTGTGTCATGGTTTGCTTGTGTTTTGCAGCAACGACTGGTGGAAACTGAGGTAGTAATGTTTTTATAAAAAAAAAAGATTACTGTTTTTAAATGATTTCTGGGCTCATAAAAAGAGGTGATGAAAAGATTTCGAACGAAATTTGCGAAATAAGGAATTAAAATATAGGTTGCTTACTCTGGTCGTGTTTGGATAATGAAGAAAACGATCCATACCGTTTTTTCAGGGATGATTTCTGAGGCCTATTTTGTAATGAAGAAATTTCGTATGAAATTTACGAAATATTGAATTAAAATATGGGTGGCCGACAGTGGGGTCTTCAAAAGGGTTGCACATATGTGTATTTTTTTATTATTGTTACAATTCTGGTGTTGTGGACCACCTAGCCGGGTGTCTTGGCCGGCGGATTTCGATCTGCCGAGGACGCAGGCTGGAATTTGGATGGGTGACCTAAGGCAGGCTCGGGGACATGGCTGTAGCAGCCTACCGAGACCTGGGTCGCCCAACAATTGACGCATGCGTGTGGTCCCCGATAAATGGTAATGAGAACAGAGCAAAGAAAATCTCTGTAATTCAAGACCATGCTATCATACATAAACTGTACGAAACTTTGCCACCAAACCACCCGTGTAGTAAATAGGATAGTTTGAAGAAAAGTACTCGAGTAATGAAGGAGGGTGTACAAGGGGCCTAATAAGGCCTAAGTGCCGCGGTGGAAAAACAATTCCACCACCCTCCGACATACATACATACATACATACATACATACATACATACATACATACATACATACATACATACATACATACATACATACATACATACATACATACATACATACATACATACATACATAATTATGGTGTTACTATCAAATTAAAATTTAAATAAAGATAGATGTGTAATAGATGTAACATGTCCAGAAATAAACGTAACATGCTCTATTGATATAGGTACAGTATAATTTTGTGAAAAATTAAAAAACTCCTCATTGTATTTATTATAGTTGATGACGATATCTTAGTATGGGTAACCCCTATTTTAATTTTTTACATTGCAAATTTCGTATGGAATCTTTTCCTCCCAAAAGTTCTACATGTGGGTCTACAAATCATCCTCTAAAAACCTCTTTCTTCATTATGACCAAAAAACAACTTTAATTTTACCTAATATTAAATACATGTCGAAGTTATGTCAAAATTAGATATAATAATATATTTATTTATTTATTTTTATTTATTTTTTAGTTTTATTTTAAATTACGATATCCAACGGGCAATGCCCAGTTACAGGATAAGGTTACAAACTAAAAAAAAGTAATAAAAATAGGTGAAAAAGATAACAATTATTCTTAAAACAAAATAAATACCAAAACATAATATCTAAACAAACAGGTAACAGACAGATAATATTAAAACAGTATAAAACAATACAAACAAATGCAAAAACGTACTTATACAAACATAAAATTTAAAGTAACACTTTTTTAATTTGAATGATACTGGAACAAAGTACCTATATCTATACGAGATTCAATTTCAGAATAACCAATAATTATTTGGTGAAAAGGAGACGCTTTATATAAATTAGTACGATGATGTTTGATCGCGAAAAGGTGTAAATGTGGGGTATAAGCGCTAGGAATAGCAAAATCAATCATTTGTTATACAGGGTGTTCCTAAATAAATGTTGCAACGGAAAACTGTAAATTCCTGTTGAAAAGAGAAACATTTTTTCCCTCTTCCATTTTTCTCTTCGGGCTTTCATTTTCGAGATACACTGTGTCAAAACTTTTTTTCAGATTTTTGCCAATATCTTAGGAACCGTTTGAACTACAGGACTGAGTTTTTGTACACACATTACCCCTATTAATAGCTACTTGTTGCAAACGTTGTTAAATTTAGTTAAAATTGTTAATTATTACTATCAATCTTTTGAATTACAAAAGATTTTGGAAACGTTAGCAAAATGTTTGTTTATGTTTATAAAAAGTCATTTTTCTTGAAAACGGTTGACTTTAGAGCAATGTACCAAGAGAACTCTTTTTATGTAAAATTCATTGGCGCTTCAGAATTTGCTGTCAAATATCAATTTCTCCAGTGGCGTAAAAGTTAGGGGGAAAACCCTTACGATACCTTAAAATCTCCACCACTGGCACGGCACGTTCAATGAATTCGAGAAGTGTGTGAAAAAGTAGCTATTAATAGTGGTAATACGTGTACAAAAACTCAGTCCTGTAGTTCAAACGGTTCCTAAGATATTGGCAAAAAATTAAAAAAAAATTAAAGTTTTGACACCGTGTATCTCGAAAACGAAAGCCCGGAGAGAAAATTGGAAGAGGAAAAGAATGTTTCTTTTTTCAAGAGGAATTTACAGTGTTCCGTTGCGATACTTATTTAGGAACATCCTGTATATCTTCACATATAATCTTATTATTCAAGATCTTATACAAGAAAATAACAGAATTTAACTCATATTGAAAAATGCTTCCTGAGGAAATCCTTGAGGAGGATGCTGGCCATCAATTTTCGTAAAATTGCACATATTTCGAACAATAAATCCTATACTTTTGTAGGCATTCATTACCACAATTTCAATATAATTATTAATAAAATTCATGTATATAGGGACACAACAGTTACATAGCGTATACCTACTACAACTACTGGAATAAGGTTAAAAAATTATGTATGTAATAAAATTATAAAGCTATTTACGGATATCTTAAAAAATAAATGAATGCGTCTCTTTTATCCCAAATTCCCTCCGGTGTATTCAGAAATAAAAAAACTTTACGTAGCCAATGGGTTAATATACTTTTTTATACAATTTCAGTTTCATTCCGTTTCAGAAACTATGCATTAATTTTAATTTGAAAACTTTGCATTAACTTCTCAAATAATTTTATAAACTAACTATATACCTGTTTTATTAAGTACCTACTAATTAATTATTATTATTGAAGCCCCTATCTGCACTCGCTCCCACGTCTCTGCGTGAGAAAAGGAACAACTATGCCTTTCTTCTTCGTCGGCGAATGTGTAGATTTAGATAAAGTATCTCCACAGACTGCTGTTTACCGGACACGAATTTTCTAAAAATATTCATTTATACTCCAAAAAATTATAATTTCTGTGCCGTTCTAAGTTACTAATGTGAAATGTAAGTAATATTTTACTGTAATATCCTGTTATTTAAGTAATTATCACATGCGTTTTTAAACTTTAATTAGCCTGCAGCCTTGCTATCAATTTTCATTGTTTTTCATACAATTTATACATGAGCTTGCGCACGTAAAAAATATCTATGCTGTTTGCTGGATTGCCTGACCTTGTGTATTTTGACTTTCTTTAACGGGCAGGCGAACGAATACTAATCGATGAACTGACGCCGTTTGGCCACTATCAAGTATCAATCTTTCACTAAAATGGGCATGGACTCCTGAAACATGCGCTGCTAAGTCGTCCTTATTGATTGCTTTCTTTTTCTTTTTGCAATTCGTCCAATTACTGAAGATAAAAACAAACTGTTTACATTTTAATAGCATACTTTATTGTTTTTTTTTAATCTCGGGAGTTGACAGCCTTGTTCCGTGGTCTATGATACATATTGACACTAGATGGAGCTGCGAAAGTCAAGGTGAAAGGTCATTCAATCAAATGTGCTACGCTCTAAAAAGGTAGGGATTTCTTTTATTGCATTACATATTTTTAAATTAATATTTTTATTTGCTACTTGCCGCACAAAATTGAAGCTTAAAATTTGACAGTAGATAACACATTAAATAATGTTTTTGTATACAAAGATTTAATTTAATTTAGCGTAAATGTTTTTGTATTTTCTTTAAATATTATAATATAATAAATTTTTGTGGTAGAATATAATTTTGTCGGAAGACAGCAAACTCAGATACCTAGGTACTTATTATAAAACATAGGTATAACTAGAATTTTTTTTTTATAAATTTTTGATTTTGATAGAATTATGCCTGAAAAAAAATCATCAACAATTTAAAGAAGTATAGAAATTATTATAAATTTCATTTGTTTACCCTAAAATTTAAGGAGTGGTATTTAGAAAGGACAAAAATACGTCCAGTAGGACGATATGTACAGGGTGTCTAAAACTCGATAGTATGGTTCTACTGTGAGGATACAAAAAATAAAATTTGGAACACGTGGTGTTAATGGGATGAGGTAAGCTCCATTTTCAATCAAAAGTGTTATTTTTGGGATTTGACAGAAACAACTAATGACGTCATCAATTATATTTTTTCCAGAAACATACCCAAATTTTTTCCCTGTTAAAAACTCTCTTTTTTCTAATAAACTTTTATAAGAGAAATTTTTCTGTATTACTTTCCGTTTAAAAGTTATAAGCAATATCGTTCTAAAGAGTCTCAAAAGAAATACCACCTAAAAATTACATTAGCGGTGGTAGTCGTTGGAAAATAATTGAATGTTCGTTGTTTAAAGTGCATAAATGTCATTAAGAATAAATAAAAAGATTAAACTCGATAATTCTTTAATACAGATAAAACAAAAGGTGATGATGATAACAATATAACTAAACTTAAAAATGAAGCAAACGCTTTTATACTATACAGGGTGAGTCATTAATAATGGTACACAGCTTAAANACATATTTTTAAATTAATATTTTTATTTGCTGTGTGCCGCACAAAATTGAAGCTTAAAATTTATGACAGTAGATAACACATTAAA